CACACACACACACACACACACACGCACACTCACACACATACACACACGTGCGGACCACTCCATTCGCAAATAACCAACAAATCTCGAGAACGTAAACCGTTCGGAGAGACTACAAGTTAATTATTTCCTCGAGCGTTCGGAGAAATAGAACCGGTCTAAAAAAAAAGTAAGAAAACAGTCCTTCCCTAGAAGACCTAGTGTCAAATTCAGGTCAACAATGAAATATTAAAGCGAAGCTCTAAAATTATTGGCTAACATTATATCATTTAATTTTATAGGCTATACAAAATCATACATTTTCAAAAATCCGTCGTCAAGCTGACAACCGAAACAAGGCTAACACGAACAGCGTACAAAGCTGATTATCATAAAACTAAGAAGAGTGTTCACATTTCTTAAGACTAATATTGATCCATGAATTAATATGTCAGGCTTAATGCTACAATTATCTGCAAGTTCGTATATGGCAGCAACAATACATAGACCATCCTACTGTAAGAGACAAAAACATTAGGCCCTACTGTTATTATTTATATAATGTAGAATAGGGCTAAGGCAAAGGCCTACATGACATGGTGGTCATAGATCATTCAATAAACAGCACCTAACATAAACCTGGCATTAGAATCTTGAATTCTAAATCTAGGCTATCTCGTGATTTTTGCATTCATTTCTCACTCAATCATAACATACACTGAACTGCAAGGCTCCTATGATGAACGTAAACAACTGGTAGATCTATCTGGTGTTGCTCCTGCCTCTCTTCTGCAGTCTGCAGTCGAAGATAAGAAAAACAAAAAAATTCGTTTCCTTTCTAGAGATCTAGATCTAGATCTAGATCTAGATTAGATCTAGATCTAGATCTAGTCTATCCGTGTTTTAATGAATGAAAGAGGTTACGACGTTATGTTATAGAATCTAGAGAATCTAGATCTAGATCTAGTCTAGTTTCGATAGTAGATTCTACTTTTATGGATCTAACCTCAACGCCAACTCGGGCCAGAAAGTCTTGTCTCTTCCTCTTACCACCGTGACCTTCTGTAAGCTGGATTCTTGCAGCAGGCCTGCTATCAGTTAGGCTACATAGCCTAGGCCCTAATCTTTCAAGCAGCAGCACGGGCTATGTGTCGATTCGAAGTATAGGCATCAGCGTAGGCTAGGCCTAAACAAAAAAAATTAATTAATTAAGTGGAACAGAATAAGGAAAAGACACACCCACTACCTACTTCCGGTAGTGATTTAATTTCTCTACGATCGAATTATTATTATTATTATTATTA